GCCATGCACTCCTTCCCCTCAGTGCTTTTGCTGAATGCAGTAGCATATGGTTGTGAAACGTGGACACTAACAAAAACAGAGTATGACGCAGAGAGTAATGGAGCGAAGGAGTCATCAAGTGCTTTTTTTTGAACATATAAGCAACTAAATGTTGAGGTGGGATGCAGGATCTTGTTGCGATTGCTTAAGAAAAACTGAAATCTGAAAAACGCGGTATGTGGAAAACTAAGAGATGCCCTTTCGTTTATCAGTGATTGGCATCCATGGAGAAAAAGCATACCGCGTGGAAGGTTGAGAAGAAGTGTTGGATCTCGAGCGATGATTTCTGCTGTAGGATTGCAAGGGTCGAAGATCAGACATTTGGGTGCTTTTTTGTAAAATTGAGACTGCGCAGCGAAAGCTGGGAAGTTTTGGTGAACTTAGAAGAGGTGAGATGGCCTTTTATACTCCTTCAGAGTGTCTGGTCCCACACACTACGCTGAACTTTTACTCATAAATTACGGGGAATACAGCTACTAACCAGTGCCCCAACTATGCGCGGTGTAAAAATCAGCGGTTACGGCACTCAGTCGTAGGAGGCAAAGGTAAAGCATGAATTTAAACCGATGCCAACACGCAACAGTTCAGAAGTCAACTGAAAAAGTGGCCCTATTACAACAGCCCCAGACCAGATCGATAGTTTTTTTTTTTCGTTTGTCTATTTGAAACTTAGAAATATTTTCCATTGCAGAATGAGGCCGTTGAAGAGAAGTGGAAAGTTTATGAAGTTCTGGATTCTCATCAAGTAATTTTTAACGGGTTTAATATATAACAACTTTTTAACTTGCCTAAAGCAGATGAGCACTGGTTTGGAACATGGTCATGTATTTTGCTACTGCGACTGCTTGGAGTTTGCTATGCTAACGTGAAGGAGGCTGAGAGTACTTTTCCGGCCCCATGAGGGCTATGTCCTTTCAGCTTTCTAATTTATCTAGTTATCAGTTTGAGCCATGCGATCAAATGTGGTGCTCTGGGCTTGCGATAAGTATTTCTTCGTAAGTCACTGATATGAAAGCGTGCAAAGATGCTTACTGTGGGCTATTTGCATCATTTGTCAGCTCTAAACTGGCATCTTTTCTAGTCCCCTTAATCAGTTCCGCATTACTGGGTGATCGGCTTGCTGCCTGTCATGGCGTTCTTTTTGTCTCTTAAAAAGATTGCCTGCTCGGCTGTTCTCCCGATGTGTACGCTTGGCGTGATTCTAGTGAATTAGAGTTGATTTTGGTATATGTTAAGTATCATCGACTCCTTGCGAACGATGCTACCTCTAGACCATGTTGAAATTTACATCTTTTTATCTTAATTAATTTATACGCTATAGTAAATTATTTTGTTACCACAATCGTCGTGCTGACGAGGTCCAATTGTGGTAGCGCTAAGAAATGTATACGACTTAATGGACCGAAACATTTCTTACGTATAACAAATATTTCTTTGTACCCCTTTCCCATTTTATTATCCTTTTCCTCCTTTTCATTGTTTCCTTCTTCTCCTGATATTTTCTTTTTAATCTTTAATATCTTACCGACTGGGCGAGAAGTGGCTATAGTCATCAAAGTTTTATGTCTTATGCCCAATTTTCTGTTTCTGATCCGATCCAGCAGCTCACAGAATTTGATAACGCGAACGGTTTTGTGAGGAAAAATAAATTATAGTTCGAGCAGTCAGGCCCGGTGCATTTGCAAAAAGAAATTTTCATGTTTAATTTCTTTACTAGTTCATTTATGATCAGTTTTGTATTCTTTTACTGTTACT